TTTTTTTTTTTTAAATTATACTCTTGTAATAATTTTTTAAAACGTTATACGATAAAATCATATAGTGAAAGAGTTCTTTATTTCCTTCGTCAATTTGAAAAATTTTCAAAGACAAAGTTTTCACTCAAGGATTGTAATATACGATATTAAATTGGGTTATAATCTTCAATTTACCTGGAAAATTAATAATATAAAAATGCTTAAAAATGTTATATAGCAACTTCATTCATTTGGCCCTTCAATCGCTCGCTAATCAACGCAATTATCGGCAGTTGCCAACGCTCGATGAGTCCATGGACGGTGTCCTGCTTAAGAAAAAAAAAAGAAAGAGAAATACATACACTTGCACGCTGAAAAATCAATGTCCAGGTATACGAGCAGATCTTCGCAACTTTGTTGCTTTCTGTTATTCTCAAATATCGCGACATTCGCGAGTTCTCTCTACAAAATTACGGGATATCGCGGAAATTTTGCGTTAAGCGCTTCTCACACGATCAGTAATTACATTTGCGATTATCTCAAAAACCAGAGACGTACTTTACACAGCGATTCTTTCAATCTCTTCTATTTTTTCAACCGTATAATATCAGAAATATCATTGCCGTGAGATGTTTGTGATATATTTCCACTCTTATCCGTTTGTTATTTTCACGCATAAAAGTTTTGCGCTAGTTTATTTCTTCTGTTATTAAGTAAAAGCAAAGTGGAAAGAGCCTCCGTTGCCCCAAGGAAAGTTTGACGTTGAAAGATTAATTATATCATCGATCTTGTGAGAATTGTACTGAAAATAGAATGCTTACATGCACTAATCATAAACTGACATTTATAATACTGATCGTGCAAAAAAGATATAATTTTAACTAAACCGAGTTTGTGTCGCTCAGCAGCAAGTCAACAATTCAAATAAAATTATAGCACAATTAAAGCTAACGTATACATTTTCGAACTTGTTTGAAAGACGTATTGACATTCCATAAACTCTTTTTTCATTTTTTTTCTTTCTTTCTTTTAGAAAAAAAATGGTGCTCAGGGAAAAAGTAAATATTTTGTGTAAATGTACATTTTTTAATCAGAGCAAAACTTTAGAAAATATTTCCGTGTCCTTTTTTTTTTTAATAAACGTTTGCGGATGCAGCGCTGGCGTATCTACAGTATCTATAGTATCGGAATTTGCATATTTATCGAAAACTTCCCGCTGAGCGACACGAATTCGTTACATCCTTCGTATCCTTCCCTCCGGCGCTCTCTACCTTTAAGGACATAAATCGAAACATTTCTATAGGTGTTTTTCTCCTTCCTTCTGAGATCACGGGGGCTCGGAGCAGCAAAAAGAAACGAAAAGAAAAATTCCCGACCAAAACGCGCATTCTCGTTCGTCACCTTAATATCCTTATTAAAGTTATTACGTCGTTTCGGAAAAAATTGGCAGTACAGTAGTAAATTGAAAGACTCGTTTATCATCTTTTTCCTTCGGTCTATTTTTCTCGTGTTGATTCTCTTAATATTCCTGCTCCCTTTACACTTGTCCGTTGCCGGTTTACGCCGCTTACCGCTGTTGTAGTCATACTACTCGCCGCCCATTCGTATTTAATTTTTTTTTCGCTACCTGCCGATGATATAATGTCGCGAATTTGCAGGAATATTATTCAATCGCAAGATAAAGTAAAATTGTCTTCGTTCTGCTTATTTCTAAAAAAGTAGATTTGCTTCCGTGTTTTAGAAGAGAAAACCGAAAGAATCTTATTCGAAAATTAAAAGAAAATAAAAACAGAGAACTTTTTACCAAGTGCTAAAACAATACGATACTATTCAGATAAAAAACTTAATTATTACATTAAAAAAAAAAGTGTAATTGGAAAATTCTTGAAATTCACGAAATTGTATCTCTCTCGGCGTGCTAGTTCTGCACATACGCGTATACACACATGCACAAACACACACGCACTACGAGTCACAACATCAACGAAAAGTCTCTATTCGATTTATTTCTTTTTTTTTATTCTTAATTGCATGCTTAACTTATTTACGATTTATTTATCGATTACAGGCTAGCTCACAGGACGATCAACTGTGTCGCGACGCGCCGCGTCGTCAATTTCTCTGATGTTATATCCAAACTACGTCAGCATGATTATTAAATTAATCGGAGTGATTCAATATTCTCGCGACATCGATTTATGCGAAAGTTCATCCCAGGCGCATCAAATCGATTGCTTGATAGATTAAAATTACGATGTATATAACGGCGTCAATTAATTCCAAAAAGTAAAATTTCTTTATTCAGAGCTTTAAAGAGCAGAAAATTACAATGAACTGATAATATCAATAAAGAAATTATTCGTTCGTATTCCATCAATATCCATCATTAATTCTCATAAAACAAATACAGTACAGTAGTATAATAAACAGTGAATTGAACGTTTTATTATTAACAGAATTTTATTTTAATTGAAAGACAAACGAAATTTAAATATATATAATGTCGAAGGACGGCATTTCAATATTTCAAAGCTCGAAAATAACTTTATTTATTTGTAAGTTTGGCACACGCACAGGAAAAGTATATGACCTCCCATATAGATAAATTAATTATCAATAAAAATACAGCGAATCGCGCACACGCGTACGCGCGATCGTCCGTGACGGATAAAGTAATCATTGACAAGCTAATCCTGAAAATCCATGCGATAAAATCCTTGCGATATCTCCCGTTCATCACCGACTCGCCTATTTACCGTCCTTTAATTAAATTGCCGCATCTTCATCGACGTTGTCTCAAATACCGCCGGTGCTCCTTGGACAAAACGAGAGACCGGACGCATAATCGATCACTTCGATTGTATAATTATTCATGTATCTATACATATATTTATTCTGCTTTTTTATTCCTTTGCTTGGCTCTCCTCACGCACGCAGGCACGCATTCTAACACGGAACGATTTAGAATTTATTTTATTGCGCGACGCGAGAGTGCTGCAGGTGGATGTGTCTGTTTTTATATGTGTGAGTGTATACGTGTCGCAATTTGAGCGCACTCTTCACGTGCGTGTATCGTGTGTGTATGTGTGTATGTACATTATATATATAATATATTTCTCCTTCTTCGTATTTTTGTGTTCGTTATATAATATAATCTTTCTATACATATTTATATTATCTTCCCATTAAAATCTTTTGTTCAACGGCAAATCATGCCATTAATTACAAAGTTTTATTACAGACAACAGGCTGTGCATTCACCTCCCTTCCCCTTACTAAATTTCACAAATATATACATTGCGTCATGTTATTGTTAAACAAATTCCGTTGCTCACACGCACGGTAATCTCCTATCTTTCTTCATATTTTTTCCGATACATCTGATACTGCATCAGTCAATCGTCCGCGATATAACATAATCATATAACTCGCTGTAATTTTATGTGACTCTACCGTTTTGACGTTCTATTTAATGCAAAGTGTTTTAATAACGATATTTATTTTATCGATAATATTACATCTGCAATCTAAAATGCTTTAAAAAGTTAATCGCTAAATTAATCGCAAAATAGTTCATAAACAAATAATTTTATGAATAAAAATAAATCAATATGTTAAATATAGAATTATATGAAAATTCCTGATGCTGTGTACACCACTTTAAAATTGCCGTACAGTTTATTTATAATCTTTCAAATATAACTCCGCGATATTGCTTATCATGATACAATGTACATTATAAGATGCTCTTAAAAGTCACAATCTCAAAGAAAAGTAAAATATGCTAAATAAGAGGTACTTCGTATATTCCTGATAAAGTTCTTGTTTCTTTCGCAAACAGCAAAAGAAAGCGGACGATCGATCGCTACAGCCGAGCAACGATAACGATAACGCCGTAATAAACGATCGAACGACATCTCGATTAAATTACCTAAGAGTCCTCGCGATCGACTAAAGTCGGCCACGAAGCTTTGAAAGAACGAGGGCATCATCTTAAGTTAGAGTACAAAGGTACGTAGGTCCCTCCATTTTTACATTCTTTCACGTAATTGCATCTTGATCACATCGCATCAAACCGCCTTGTAAATAATGTTTGCTTCATTGTTAATCCCGATATAAGACAAACATGTCGTGAGAATTTTGATAAATCGACATTTATATCGATTCATTTATTGCTGAATTATTTTTAAATATGAAAAAAAAAACAATAATTTCTTAATTTTTTAAATTTTTAGGTAAAATAAAGAATTACTTGTTTAATAACTCTCAAAAAAAGAGAAAAGAGAATATAAATATATATATATATATATATATATATATATAAGAATTTCTAAAAATAAAAGTCTGAAACAATGTTTCTTTAACTAAATTAAATAATTTATTATACATATTTGCGTGTAATGAAAAAGAAAGTAAATCAAATTAATTGAATCTGTCAAAATGATAAACTTCGTCAAGCTGACTTTTTTTTTCAATGCTTGTTAATCATTTTCTTTTACAGTGATTATTTGAAAGCAACATTCTTAATAAACCACGACGGTCTTATCAATTTTATATTAATTAATATCTCGCGTTTCATATATTCATTTTTGATATGTTGTGTATCTCTCTTTCCGATTTCGTATTGTCTTCAGTTTTTGTCATCATAATTTTATTAACACGTCAAATAAATAACAGTGCACTGCCAAAAGTTCTTGCAAAAAGATTTTTGTACAAATTTTCAACAATATAATTTTAAAAGTATACTGCAACAACTCTTTTGTAAGATCTTTTAACAGTAAATTTTTGAATTGTGTTTATTATATTAACGTTTAAATTATTAAATTAATATATTACTTTTCTTTAAAAAATAATCCCATAAATAATAATATTTTATATAAATAAGGATCTTTATAAAGATTATTCAAAATATTAATATTAATAAACGATATCCATAGAAATAATATTAATAATAATATCCAGAAGTAATGAACGATATCCAGAAATAATGAGATATGAACGCATAACGTGTGCAACAAGCATTTGATTGCATATAATTTTATTCGAGAGCACTTAAGATTGTAGAAGATTGATTATAGAAATGTAACAACATATTAAAAATTATTTCGGTTTCATTTAACTTCCCATTAACATTAGTACATCTATTATATACACATACAGTTTCGCATATAATAATTTATACATGTTAAAAATCATTGAATTCATATAATTTGCTGAAATTGAGTATAGGCACTTGAGAGTTTCGTTCTCTGAGAGCGCCTTGCAATCACAAAATTCCGCAGTATGTACTTCTAATTAGGATAAAAAGTTTTATTCTCTTAACACAATTCTGGATCAGTGTGACTCTTATAAATGGACATACTTAGGTACGTATTTCGTTCTCTACTTATCGTTACATATTGCCTGATTGTGACTCATAAATCGTACAAGATATAACAATATTTACAAAGACATGAAGAAAACTAAATTTAGAAGTAAATACAAACCGCAGTTTAACTGGAATTATTCGTGTGGATTCATATAATTAATATAAGGATTAAAATTCGTGAAGTTTATGTCGAATAACGCCGCCGTTACGACACAAGTAAATTTCTAATTCCGACGTGATTAATGAATCCTTCGACTGTGTGCGAATAGTCGCGATAAACGATCATACATCTCCTCTTTCCCTTCAAGGATCACTGAAAGAACATTATTTAAGGGACGGCCTGACGCGAAGTAACATGTTGCGAAATCCCTCCCCTCCCCTAAAGGACTCGATTCCGCACGGACAAATCCCGTATAATTGCGTGACCCTAATCGCAATCGCTCAGCCGCACCTGGGTCACCCATTTTGCGAACTCGTCGCCGGCGCGATTTAATCAATTAATTCAGTTAATTATCACGACGCCGCGAACGAATTTCCGCAGGAAGTGTGCTCTCTCTCTCTCTCTCTCTCTCTCTCTCTCTCTCTCTCTCTCTCTCTCTCTCTTTCTCCTCTTCCTGCAGAAATCCATTCGGCACGCGACCAGATATTGCGACTGCAACGAGAACGTTGCTTAACACGAGACATTTTTTTTCCGTCAAACAGAAATCTCTGCGAATCGGTGTGCAAATTCTAACAGGACTACGAAGGAGAAACCGCGCGTCGGGGTCCTCGCGCGCCTCGACAGCGATCGATCCACATCGCGATAGGCGTAGGGTTTTCCCAGATCCTCCGTAGATTCCGCCGAATAACGAACGATCGTCCCGTCCTCTCAGGGGAGCAAATCAATCCGCTCGTGAAATCGCGGATCGGAATGCCGCTGAGCCTGATGACGATCTCCCATCGCGTGGCGTCGATGCGAACGGCTCGTTTTTATTACTGGAATTAAAAGGCGCGAAAAGTTCATAGCTACACGATCTCCATCGCGCGAATTCGAAACAACATCAAAGACTGACATAAAAAATTATGCGACACTCTGTTGCAATATATCATGCATGAAACAGTTGCGCTTAAAACAAATTAAAGCAAATTGTTTCATAAAAGAAATTCAATAATATGTGATGATTGAGAAGCTGACATCATATATAGTAATATTAATTATTTATACTACTAATTAAAATGGCAATGCGACAAAAAAGTTTCGGCGATGAAAAGTCAACTCCATTCCGTCGAGAAATCTGCCACTTATACGAAGAAATAAGACATATATATGTACAGCGATTTCTTAAAATAAAGTTAAATTAAAGTAAAATAAAGTCAATAATTTACGTAAAAAGAATGCACGCGCGCACACACACCCACACACGAAATTTATGTATATATATTCCAACTTCTCCATTCTGAACACGTAAACTTTTTCAATTATCCGATTCGGTTATTGGATGCGTATCGCTGGGAATTCGTGCGCGGTTCATCGGGAAAGATTGCCCTGTCGTAGTTCGATTCAGCGAGCCTCCGCGACGGAAACTAGGCCGCGCGTCAGGGAAAGCCGACGCAAATCCGGAAAAATTACCTGCACTCAGGGCTCATCCGGCGCGAATCGGCCGATCTCGGCCTCATGCCGTATTTCAAGGTGGCAAACGAAGCGAATGTAATCTCGGAAAATTGTCTTATACCCGCTGACCGATCATAAATCACCTTTCCTCTCGACTAGCTCCGATCGTCAATTTGCCTTCAAACGACTCGACTGGTTTGCTCTTCGCCACAATCTCGCTATTTTGACAAAAAAAAAAAAACGCTTCTAAATACGAGATGTCAAAAATAAATTCTTTACGAGAATTCTGGAGTTTTTATATATACATACGTCATTGTTATTGATTACAGAAAATATGTCTTTTTTTGGATTTGTTAATAAATTTTAAAATATCTAGATTATTGATTAAAAAGATGTGAGGTGATGTTAAAGTAACAAAAAATGATTAACAAGTTTAAGAAAATCTTTGCTCAGCAAAAGAAAGCAATTTTTTCAAATAAACAAGTTAAAACTCCAATCCTAATCGCAGGATTGAAGTAATTTTATTAAGTTCAATCATCATTTCTCAATCATCAAATTTTCCGAAGAAACCGATCGATATTCGAGGGTAGTAGTGTGAATCGCCGGAAGTAAAAGCAAATAGACTTTGTAAGCAAAACTAGTGGTTTGTGAATTCAACGACATACTTGCAATAATAATGCACATAATTTAATGAAGTTGTACCAGCAAATATTATAGCCCGAGGTACATTTGAAACGGATCAATTTCGATTTCCGAAGCCCCGTATACGCATATATATGGAGCAAAAACGGAACATTATATCTCACGGAAAATAATGCTAATGAAGAAAGAACCTCTTCAAAATAGATTTTCCCAAAATAATATTCAAAACATAAACAACTTTTGATAATTATAAATAAATATTCGAGATTTTAGTATCAAAATTTACTTTTTTATCACTGTGTTGTATCAGCATGCAAAAATATTTGGAAATCAATTCTCTTCTATTAATACGTTCAGTTTACCCGAATAAAGACACACTTCAACTAAATTACTAAATCTACAAAATCACATCACGATAAACACTATACACAAAAATATTAAAAATAATACGCAAGTTCTTGATAAATAAATCATAAACGATCATATACGCGTGATACGTTCACTTACGGGACTTCCGAAACGTGCGATACAGAACAATCAACAGAAAATCGCACAGCACGGGCTAACAAAGATCCACGACTACTTCCGGTGGTCCGCGCTGCGCCCTTTAAAGATTTTTCGTGAATGATGTCATGATGGCTCACCGTTGCTTCGAACGTGGGTCGGCCGTGGTTCGTTCATCGGGTTCAGCGAGCACAGGTGTGGAGGAGGACGGCGGTGAGTTTTATAGGTGAGTGGTGGTGGTGGTTGGTGGTGTGGTAATGCGTGGCTAGCGCATCGCGCACACGGACGATCGTGATCGGTTCTCGTGATCCGTCGCGATTCAAACGGTCTCCGATACCGGGAGCGGTGGCTGCCCACCGGAAGTAGTCATGGCGGGCGCGGTGTTGGCGGTGTTGGTGGGGGCCGGAAGTGGCTGTAGGGCCTGCATGTCGCACATGTGGGAATCGCGCTTCTTTAGGTCCTGGAACAAGTGGCATTTCGGATACGTTTGAATTTTCACCCTCTGCTGTCCTATCTTTTCGTCTACTCTTCATTTTTTTCACACCCCACTTTGCCCCCTTCTCCCCCTTCTCTCTCTCTTTCCACCCTCTCTCTCTTTCTCCCCCTCTCTCTCTCTCTCTCCCCCCCTCTCTCTCTTTCTCTCTCTCCCCCCTCCCTCTCTCGCTCTTTCTCGTTCTCTCTCGCTCTTGCAATTTTCTCACACTTTTTCGCTCACACTTGCATTTTCGCTTTTACTCTATCTCTCACACAATTGTTCTCTAGCATCTAATCTCTAGATCCAGACTAAGCAATTAATTATGTCTACCCTTTCCCTCTCCCCTCTCTTCCTCTCGCTTCTATCCTTCCTCGTCCTCCTCGGGAAAGAAAAATAATCATCGACGCCGTGACTAAATTGAGATGTTGATCGGGTGAATTTACATTACAAGAGATTTCGAGGATCTTTGGATGATTTACGGATTGGAATGGACTTTCGCGATTAATGAATTGACAATCGACTTCGAACGATCCTCGAGAGCAAGACGCGGGTGAATCTCCTGAGGACGAGGGGGATTTCGGGAAAAGTTTCGGGATGATTTCCGTCCCGAGAAGAGCGAAGAGAGATTGAGAGACGAGGGCGTAGAAGGGCGGGATGAAAAAAAGAGTTTTACACGTGCATAGAGAGAAACATGCGATATACGATGCGGCAGATACGAGCGGAAACAGTCGAGAGGAAACCAGGGTGCGAAGCAACGACAACACAGTAAAGGAGGGTAATAATAACAATAACAAGACAACAATAACAAGAACATTCCATTAAATGTAGAACATGAAGGTAGAAGGAAACAAACAATGCACGGAGAATTAAGATACACTTCGCTGATACCAAAATACATGTATAGATATGTTTGCTCAGTACGTAACAATATATATGCACATTATATATTTCTTAACTCAAACACGCAGTTTAAGCCATTGTAGATGGAATTATTCTTGGGCTCGAAAATAACGTAGACTATTCCATTTACAGATTGATAATATATAAATTGATAGGCTAACATGTGTGACTATCTAAAACTTTTTTGTGGATTTTATATTTTTAAAATTAATGTAACAATTATGGTTAATAATAAATAACTTTCAAAGGCCATGTAAGAAATATGTATGTATTATACATATTTTATGTTAAAACTATAGTTGAACCAATTAAACCACGAATTGAAGTTATAAGAATGCTGTTTTTGAAAATTAGACCATATAATTATAGTTAACAATCCCCGTTTCAATTATTTTTCCAATCTAATTTTGAATATAATATTTAAAGAACACGTGCGAGGTATAGAATTATATTTTATAAAAATTAAACATGCGATAAATTTCTGAAATGAGTCGTAACTTATGAGTCGTAATTAATTATTAATTATCATGCCCGCGTTTTATTCAAATGTCAGTAAACTGGCGTATAAAACTGTAATTTATCTTTGAGCTCATCTTATGCAAGAATAATCAAGGCAAAAATTGTCGTATCTTTCAGAAATTGAGACGCCTGCGGGCGTCGGCCTTGCAAGATAGAAGAATCGAAGTCGCTTTCCACATCAGCCGCATGCGAAGTGCGTTAAACATCTTACAAGCGCAGATCATAAATCGAACACTCCTGATATATAATCGCAGAGCGTAACAGTTACAAGCAGTCGTTATACTTTACGTAGTTTCTAAGTCGGGTTTATAGCTCGTCCTGGCAGCATGACCTTCTCGAGCGTTAATCGTACACGCAGAACTTTACTGCAGTAATCGCGCAGTTAATGTGTTGCGCTTAACACTAGCGTGACTTTCTACGCTGTGTCTTTTGTGATTAATAACAGCAGATCGGTCTTATCTCAGACGTTTAATTATGCTATTAGGTAGTAAGGCAGCCTAGCGGTAATCGCAAATCGATTTCATAATTGCTGGCATGAATGCACCGAGATAACGATCGATTAGAGGAAGATAAAGCGGAATATAATTAATTACCGCATGATTCATTCTTGTGTTATTATTTTGTCTGTTATATAAAATCTTCGGAAATTTTTATAAGATTAATTAAAGTTTTGTTTAGAAATTTTACGTATATCGATATATGTGTGATTTTAGTATCAAAAAAATTAAGAGATATTAAACATAGCGTCTATAAAATTTTCTAGAAAACATGAGAGTAAGTTTCTGGTATAAAGATAAATTGTTTATAAATATAATAAGTGTAAAAACAATTTTTAAGAACTGGTAGAAATCAATCAAAACTGCAATTGCAGATTTCTCTCATCAAGCAGAGCTTGATTTTGTTAATTAATCCTACATATTAAAATATACCTATTTCTTCTTGTCTTATTTTAAATTTGCAATAAGGTAGATAATGTATAATATAGATGCAAGTTGTATGACATACATATCGAATTAAGCGATGACGTAGACATACACGATTGACGCTCCAATTCTATATTTAATCTTACATTTTTAATAAATAAACAAACAAAGGCAAATAAGAGCTCATTCACAACGATGGTCGGACGACAGTAATAAAATTAAAATTACAATAATAAATAAAATTAATATAATAAAGTAAACGTTTCAGTCCTTGGTTTGGAGCCTTCTCAGTACATACAAAACGATGGTCAGGTGCTTCGATGCAGTGGTCAAGAAGTAGTACAAAATGCAGTCAACATGTTCGCTCTCCAAATGGTGACTTTGCTGGAAACATTGTTGGTGTAGTAGCAGCTGGCAACTG